GTGGATTCCAGTGTAGAAGACAGTGGAAGGTTAACATGGTTAATTATTAAGGTCAAGCTATCAAGCTGGCCTCCATTGAACTGAACGGCCAATATTAGGCCCAGCCCAAGTTTCTGTGGCTCATTGTTTAGGTTTTCATGACTTAGAATGAGTGTAAATGGAAATTGTTTTCTGTATAGGCTAAAAACTCCAAGGGTCTTTCCCTCCTAGACTGATATCTTTGAGATGATAAATTAATTGGGCCATCTTTTGTCTCAATTCTTACCTAAACTTTAAGGCATTGTATGGGTATGGCTTCAGACAAACTGATACCTGGGAAAGACCTTAATTTCTATTTTTTTTTTTAGGCAATTGAGGTTAAGTGACTTACCCAGGGTCATACAGCTAGTAAGTGTCAAGTGTTTGGTCTGAGGCTGGATTTGAATGCAGGTCCTTCTGACTCCAAGGCTGGTGTTCTATCCACTGTGCCACCTAGCCACCCCAAGACCTTAATTTCTAAAGGCCAAAGTCACCCACTGCATCCTGAGCCATCCTCTGGACCTTTGTGTTGCATTAGACTCCATTGACTCCCTTCAATAAGTATATGTTAAACTATTAGACTTTTGAGCTCTTCCAGCTCAGAGACTCTTTGAATTTATGACATAATTTACCATTTGCTCCTTCTTGACAATTCTTTCTGCCCTTAGCTTCTATAACACTTCCTATTTCTGGTTCTCCTACTAAATTTAAGTGATTTTTCTTTACCTCTTTAATGACTCCTCATCCTGCTCCCAGGTAGAGTTTTCATTCAAGATCCTGTTCTCAATTGTCTCTTTTCTCAACACTCTTCCTTAGAGAATACCTTCACTCTTATGATTTCAATTGTCATCTTTTTGCTGACAATTCTCAAGTAGAGTACAGAGGTACAGAGAACTGGATTTAAAGTTCAAGAACCAGGATTTGAATCTCTGTTCATCTACTTAGTACCTATGATGCTACCTGGAGGCAAGTCACTTTACTTTTTCAAGTCTGTATGGGGTTAGACTAGATGACCTCTAAAGTTCTCTCCACCACAAAATCTATGAATCACAATATGCTGCATCCTACATTTACCCATCATACATTTTTTCATTACCCTTTGGGTCAGCTGAATTTTGATTCTTCATAGATTGATATTTTCCACAATTTGAAGCCATCTCACATTACTGGAAAAATTGTGATGTTAAAAAGAGTGAAGACTGGGGTCATTAAAAATCACTGCAATATTTTCCAAATGCAATCCAGCCTGCTCTCTCTCTTGTATTTAGTTCAGCTCATTGTCCCATCATGAGTTGAAGTCTAAGAGATATATATTAATAGACCATCTCTATAGTCTGTCCATCCATTTGCATGTCATAAATTAGACTAGTGGTTTCCAAACTGTTTTGTTTGTTCATTCCATCACTAAAATTTTTTTGAGCAATGTATCTTCAATATATGTGTATTGTGAAAAATTATTTCTCTTGGAAATCTGTGTCTTGGAGACATATTTATAAATTACAAGGAGTTTGACTAAGAAAGGGAAGAGAGGACTTGATGAAATGGCAGGGTCTAGTGAATTTTTTTTTTGTTTTTTTTTTTTTTAACATGGAAGAAACTTGTGATTACATATAAATGGAGTGGTCAAGGAGAAGCCCATTATCTCAAGTACAACTTAAAGCCACTTTAGGAGACAATGAGATTCAAGTAGGCTGGTTGATGAAATACTGAAACTAACTGGGGCCCCTCACTCAGGGGTTAACAAAAGAATGGATAATGCCCAGAAACTTTCTAGTTATCTCATCTCAAGGCAGGTTTTACTCTATAAGAATCCCTAGCCTCTCCTGGCTAGGGGGCCTCCTCCTTAAGTGGGGGGGCATCTTCCCTTATTCAGGCATCTCCTTTACTGGGACATCTTCTTTAAGCAGAGGGCATCCCCCTTAAGCTGGGGTCTCCCTTTAACTGTGTCTCCCTTCAGGGGCAAAGGAGCCTGCTTAGTGTGTTGTATTATGGAGATAGCCTGAGTGAATTTCTTCAGGACAACTTTGCACCTCAATATTTTGGGATGCAATCTCAAATCTGAACCTCATCACTTGGGTATATTTGAAGGCAACAGGGAAGGAAACAGTTGAGAAGAAAAGGTTGAAGATTCTAGAGATAGGAGGGATGATTTAGGATGCAGTCTGAAGAAGATAGGAAGAGTTAGAATCAAAGGCACATTTAGAGGGGTTAACTTTGGCAGGAAGGGCCTCCTCTATCAGAAACTAGAGGAAATAAGGTGAGGAAGATAATGTCAAGGCATCTTGAGATGTAAAGGCTAACTACTTGCTATATACCACTCCTTTTCACTCTGTCCTGACTGACTACCCCAACCCCATAGCATTTATTCCAAATTTTATGTTATTTCTTCAAATCACTTACAATCCCACCTACTGCCTCCCTTTCACCAGAAAACTTTTTACCACATACTTCACTAAAGAACTGAGGCCACTAATTGCTCATGTGTAGGCCAAGCCAACAATAATAAAAATGAATTCAGTGCCATACCAATCAAACTAACAAAATTATTTTATAAAGCTAGAAAACAATCATAACAAAATTCATCTGGAAAAACAAAAGGTCATAAATATCAAGGGAATTAATGAAAACAAATGTTAAGGAAGGTGGCCTTGCCATATCAGATTTCAAACTGTATTATAAAGTGGTAATCATCAAAACTATCCCGTACTGCCTAAGAAATAGAATGGTGGATCAGTGGAATAGATAAAATAAATAAGACACAGCAGTAAATGATCATAGTACTTTAGCATTTGATAAACCTAGAGACCCCGGCTTTTGGGACAAGAACTCAGTAATTGACAAAAACTTCCAAGATAAGGTCAAAATGGGTACAAGATTTAAATATAAATAGTGAAATTATAAGCAAATTAGGAGACCTGTCAAATTTATAAAAAAGGGAAGAATTTATGACCAAACAAGAGACAGAGAGCATTACTAGATGTAAAATGGGAAAATTTTTTATTATATTCAATTTTAAAATTTTTGCATAAACAAAATCAATGCAAGCAATATTAGAAAGAAAGCTGGAAAACAATTTTTACACTAAGTGTCTCTGATAAAGGCTTCATTTCTCAAATACATAAAGAACTGATTCAAATGTATAAAAATACAAGTCATTGCCCAATTGATAAACATTGATAAACTATTTTTCACCTTATTTTTATGGCATTTTTTTTCACCCTTCGGGTCCTGTGTCTTCTTTTACAACATGACCATATTATAGCAATATTATGGTAATATGTTTTGCATGACTGCATATATATAACATATACCAAACTGTTTACCATCTCAGGGAGAGGGGAGGTAAGGAACAGAGAGAGAAAATTTGGAACTCAATTTTTTTAAAAAAAATCAATGTTGAAAATTGTTTTTTCATGTAATTTGGGAAAAAATAAAATGTCATTTTAAAAAAAGAGTTGAAGCCGCCTATCATGAGCTCCCTCCCATTTCTATACTTCAAATTATCTCTACCTTATACCCCATCCTCTCCTCCATTGCTATAGTCTCAGAGTATGAGGTGGACTTTTTCCTTACAAATGCCAATCACTCTATTTATGCCCTTGATCCCATCCTTGCTTGTCTTATCCAGGTGCTTTTCCTTTCAATTATGTCTTCTCTCTCATGAATTTTAAATTTCTCCTTACCCAGTGGCTTCTTCCCCTCTGCTTATGAAAAAGCCCAGATCTCCCAATCATTAAAAACCCTTCACTGGATCATGCTATCCCATATCCATCTTCCCTTTCATAGGCAAATTTAGAGCAAAAGCTATCCACACTCATTACCACCACTTAGTCAACAAGCTTATTAACTGCTCACTATGTGCCAGGCACTATGCTAAGTCCTGGGGAGATGCAAAGCCAAAAAAAAAAAAGAAAAGAAAAGAAAAACCAGAACAGCCACTGTCCTTGAGGAACTCACATTCCAATGGAGAAGACAACATGAAAACAACCATGTACAGACAAGACAGGTGCAGGGTAAATGGACAGTAATCTCAGAAGGAAAGCACTACCACTAAAGGGGCACCAGGAAAGGCTTTTTATAGAAGCTGGGATTTTATCTGAGACTTGGAAGGAAGGAAAGAAGGAAGGAATGAAGGAATGAATGAGGGAAGGAAGGAAGGAAGGAAGCTAGGAGGCACAGATGAGTAGGGAAAGCACTTCAGAAATGGAGATGGTCAGTGAAAATGCTTGGAGACAGGAGATGGAGTGTTTTGTTTGAGGTATAGCAAGAAGATCAGTGTCACCATATTGCAGAAAATATGGAAGGGAGGAAGGCGTAAGAACACTGGAAAAGTAAAAAAGATCTAAATTATGAATATCTTTAAAAGACAAAAAATAGTTTATGTTTGGCCCTGGAGGTGATACGAAACCAATAGACTTTATTGAATGGGTCACAGCACGGATGTGCTGGTGAGACCAACCTAAGTCACTTCAGTAGCTGACTGAAGGATGGACTAGAGAGGGGAGAGACATGAGGCAGGGATTCCAACCAGAAGACTATTTTCAGCAATAGTCTAGGCATGATATGATGAGGGGCTATACCAGGGGCAGTGTAAAAAAAGGGGGGGGGGGCAGGCATTATGAGAAATGTTGAAAAATTGAATCAGTCCCTATGATTCAGTGATCTTCATCCATCATATCCAGTCAATTGCTATGGAAATCCTGGCAATATAATGAAAAGAGGGTTGATCTGGGTTCAGAGGACCTGAGTACAAATCCAAACTAAAACTTATTATTTATATGACCTTGGGCTTCATTTTCCTTATCTGTAAAAGAGAAGATTGAACTAGTTGGAATCTCTTGAATCACAATTTCCTTTTAGAAAACTTTATGAAAATTAACTTTTTAATTTACAGAAATACAATTATACTGTGAGATTCCTCAGCTTCCTTTGGTCCTTGAAAACACTGTATGAAAGAGATTCCTGAAAGCTTCAGTCCATACCTTGCTCTTGTGGTCTTAATCCAAGTGCCAGGCCTAGGCCAAATAACACAACCACCAACAAAACACAAAGAACCTGTCACCAAAAAAAAAAAAAGTAATTTTTAAAAAATGAATAAAATCAGAGACTTTAATCTATGCAGATGCTTGGCATCATCCTTCCCAAATGAATGTGTTTTACTGAATACCTACAGCATACTAGTTAATCAACACACTATTTTTGTTGTTGTTGTTGAGTCATTTCAATTGTGTCAACTCTTCATGCCCCTATTTGGGGTTTTCTTGGCAAAGACAGAGGTCCATTTCCTTCTCCAGCTCAATTGAAAGATGAGGAAGCTGAGGCAAACAGGGTTAAGTGACTTGCTCAGGGTCACACAGCCAGTAAGTGTCTGAGGCCAGATTTGAACTCAGGAAGATAAGTATTCCTGACTTCAGGCCTGGCACTCAATCCACTGCACCACCTAGCCGCCCTGCCCCAGTACGCTAACAATTTGTTTAATTCACAAGTTATCATATATGCGTTTTATTTACTTTTATCTTCCTCATAGAAGTGGAAGCAGTGTGACATAATAGAAAGGGAAGTTAGACAATCCAAGGTTAATTCCTAAGTCTTTTACTTAACATCTCTGGGCCTTGGTTTACCTTATCTGTCAAATGAGGGTATTGGACCTCCGAGGTTCCTTCCAACTTTAAATTTGTGATCCTGTCTGTGAAGAAATAGTTTCCTTTTTTTTTTCAATTATTTATTTATTTATTTATTTGTAGATTTTTGGCTAGGCAACGGGGTTAAGGGACTTGCCCAGGGTCACACAGCTAGTAAGTGTCAAGTGTCTGAGGCCAGAGTTGAACTCAGGTCCTCCTGAATCCAGGGCCTGTGTTCTATCCACTGCACCACCTAGCTGCCCCAGGAAATAGCTTCTTTATGCAATGCACAAATACTCTAAATAAACAGATCCCTCACTGCAACAAAACAAAAGGGAGCTATGACAGAGTTGCTTACTCTACCTTATAGTCACAGGGCCCTTCACATAATGGGTGCTTAATACATTTAGTCTTGAAAACACAAGGATAGTTCATTGTTGGGTCATTAAATTTGTACTTTCAATATCATCAGCCCTGGCTCAATATTATGAGTTTAACCTAACACTGAGCCTAAGGAAGATAAATTACTTTATTCAAAACAATGCTTGACTAGTAGCATTAATCCTGCTTAATCCTTTTCCCTTTCTAGTGTCATATTCTGTTGTCTGAAAGAGGTCATTTGCCAATCAATTAACAAGAAATTACCTCTCTTCTACAAAGCAATTGAGTCATACCTGTTCACCATAGGACAGAGAAATCAAGATGTTGAAGGAGTGTATGGCCTACAGATAATTCACCAACAGATCTGGTTTATTGCTCATATTCAAATTAATCATTCTGGCTAATTCAGCAGCCTTCCAAACATAAGCTCTTCACATCAAAGCAACTGACAAAGGTCTCTCTTTTCCTGGACTTAAGGTCATCATAAGAACATAGCACAGAGATTCATCTCTTCTCCTCTGTACTCTACCCTATCCAACAAGTTCAATAATTAAGGGGGTGAGAGGGATTGGGTGCTATCTTTTATCATAAAGGCTAAGAATAGAATAACACAAATGAGCCAGTTACTTAAACAGGAAGAACCTGTTTCTTTTGTCCATTGTTAAAAGAAAAGGAAATTACAAAGCCCACCTTCCTGAAAGAAAACATAGGTATCACAAAGGTTTATTCAGAGACTCTTCATTTTGAAGCTTGACATAAAAAGTAAGAAAATGAACTCGTCTTACAAACTTACAAATAAGTTATGCACAATTGGAAGAGAGAAAAAAAATACCTTATTTAAGGTACATATGATGACTCAAGTATTTTATGGGAATAGAAACTACATGGTACAATGAATAGAGCACTGGTCTTGGGGTCAGGAAGACCTGGGCTCAAATCCTTTTTCAAACATTTATTAGTTGTGTGACCCAGGCAAGTCACTCAACTACTATGTGCTTCAGGCAACTCCTTTGGACATACCTACTAAGTCATAGACAGGTTGCAATCTGCTTTGCTAGATAAATGGAGTTTCCTGGGAGATCCCCACTTGGATCCTGGAAATAACTGGATCTTTCCTGTTTTAGCAAAGTTTGCTACTTGAAAGCGAAAATGCCTCAAATTTATAATACATTAAATTATGTGAAATATCAACAAGCAATCTGTATCTTATGTAATGACACTGAACCACTTGAACAAAATAATTCTTGTATTCTTTTGCTAGACTACTTGATATATTTTTCTATTTTAGTTGTTAAATTTTAAAAATAATACTGAAATGACAGGTCTGTACTATAGAGGTTTGATCAGGGAATATGATCAACTTGATAAGTTTAAAGGGAGGTGAGTTTTTGGTCAGAATTTTTTGTTATATCTTCCTATAGAGAATAGAAACATAATCCTTGGTATGTCCTTTGGTTTTAGTGACTTAGGATAGATTATTTTGGGAGTCCAAAGACTTAACAGCCCTAGAAGCTTATGGATCAGGGAACTACCCGGAACAAATCATAAAAATCTGCAATCATGAAAAAAAAACCTGACATTTGTATAGCCATTTAAGGTTTATAAAGTGCTTTATAAACATTATTTCATTTAAGCTTCACAAAAATACTACAACATAGGTATTACAAGTTTTATTATTCTTATTTTACAGGTAAAATGACTGAGGCACAGACAAGTATATGAGGTAGGTTCTGAATCTAGATCTTATCTTTTTCCAGGTATCTTTATCTTTTCCTTTCACATGAGCAGTTCCAAGAAGAACTCCTGCTTCTACTACCACTAAAAAAAAATTATGTGTTTAATTTCCATCCTATATTCAATTAATTCCATACCAGGGGTAGTTAGTGAATCCTTAATTACTACAGTTAATACATATTCTCAGGGCAGCTAGGTAGCACAATGGATAGAGTACCAGGCCTGAATTCAGGAAGATGATCCTCAGACAAGGTAGGTGACCCTGGGCAAGTCACTTAACCCAGTTTACCTCAATTCTTCATCTACAAAATGAGCTGGAGAAAACCACTACTATCTCTGCCAAGAAAACCCCAAATGGGGTCACAAAGAGTCAAACATGACTGAAAAACGACTGAGCAGCAACAATACATATTCACATATATAGTTATCCATGGAAGATAATTGAAATCAAATATAAGATTAAAGACAGAAAGGTAGAAATACAAATTTCACATTATGACAGAAACACAAAATATAACATTAAAAAGCAATCTTTCACAACCAGAAAATTAGCAGATAAGAAAAAAAATGAGAAAAGGCATTATGGAGGGGTTTTGGAAAGACAAGAACAATATTGTATTGTTGGCAGAGCTGAATTGGTATAATTGTCCAAAAAAGCAATTTAGAATTGTGCAAAGAAAATCACTAACATGGCTTAACCTTTTGACCCAGAGATTGTACTGCTATGTATATACCCAAAAATGATCAGTTTCAAAAAGTCCCAAATAGACCAAACTATTTTAGCAGTATTTTCTGTGGAAAATATCAGAAAAAAAGAGTAGATACTCATTTATAGGGGAATGGCTCAACGAACTGTGGCACATAAATGTAATAGAATACTACTATACTATAAGAAACAATGAACAAGATAACATGCAGAGAAGCATAAAAAGACTTATTTAAATTGATGTAAAGTGAAAGAAACAGAACCAGGAAAATAAAATACACACAATAACTATGACAATGTAAATAAAAGAAACAACAGCCAAAAAAAAAACAAAACAAAATTGCACAAACATTGAAGAGTAATGTTGGACCCAAAACAAATATTAAAACAACATATTAGGAGAACCAGGAGTTTTTAAGAATCTAAGTAGGTAAATGTTGGGAGAGAATGGTGAGTTTTCAATAATAAACAGTTTGAACCATGACAGTAGATAAACAGTATCTGTCAATTTTTTGAGAACTGCTTGCTCAACAAACCTCAATCTTATGGATCATATAGATAAGAAACACTCATTGATTGGTTAGAAACCAATGTATGCCAAAGAGTTGGACCTTGAGGTCACAGTATGAAGAAATAGCTTTGACAGAATAGTAGCACAAAGAGTAAAAGAAGGGGAGATGGGTTGGGACTGAGAGAGAAGCTTTAAAACCTATCAGCCAAGGTATTTCTCTGCCTTTAGATAGTGCATATCGTAAGAAAAAGGTCATATGAAACTATGGGGCAGGAGTGGGTCAAGGATAAAAGTGAGACTTCTTATACGTCCAATTGGATGTATATTTATGTTTGTCAAAGCCACCTGATATATACAAAGTGAGCTAGGCTTGGATTGAGAGCAGGACCCCCTCCTTAGGTGAGCTACATACCAAATACTTTGGTAGTTAGTGATAAGTAAAGTCATACAAAATACATGATTACTATAGGGGGTCTTAATCTTTTTTTGTGTATCATAGTTCCTTTTGGCACTCTGCTGAAGCCCATGGACCCCTTCTCAAGACAATTTTTAAAATTTATGCAATAAAATATATAGGATTACAAAGGTTCTAATCATATTGAAATACAATTATCAAAACAAACAAACAAACAAGTATATGGATGCCTTTGAAAGTCACCTGGAGAGAGTTGCTTGGATCATTGAGAGGATGTAACTTGCCCATCATAGGAAGGTCTTAAGTTTCTCAGCAACACTAAGGCCTGCCCTCTACCCAACATTGCCTCTCAAATAGGACATTGAAAGCATTTTTTAAAATACTATGCCAGATACACTTAATGTCTTTCAAGGAAGCTAAAAAACAAAGGACAAAGAAACTATACAGTATTGTCTAATTCTGTTACAGGATTTCGAAGAACTAAGAACTCTAGCCAATTCAGCATGTATCCAACTTGACCCATGGCTCCTCCCAGGAAAGCATCAGCTACAGGGCAGAGTAGTGTAATGGGAAGAACTCTGGACTGGAGTTCTAAGAGAGCTAGTTTTGAGTTTCTGTTCAATCACTAAATAGTTGCATGATCCAGAGCTTAGCCCAGTGTCTGTCAGAGAGCAGGCATTTAATAAATGTTTATTGAATAAATGTTTATTGAATGAATGAATTTTGGGGGACAGCTAAGTGGTGCAGTGAATAGAACTCTGCCTTGCAATCAGGAGGACCTGAGTTCAAATCCAGCCTTAGACACTTAACACTTACTGGCTGTGTGACCCTGGGCAAGTCACTTAACCTCCATCGCCTCACCCCAAAAAAAAATTTAAAAAAAAAAAAGAAGAATGAATGAATTTTGGACAAGTCACTTAACCTCTATGGTTCTCAGTTTCTTTATTTGTAAAGCGAAGGGATTATCATAAATTATCTCTAATATAAAATTACATAATCTAATGCTGTTTTGTTTTGCTTAATTGTACTTACTGGTTACAAGGGACATGTGTGTGACCTGGGGAATCAGGAGGTAGTGAAAGTGATATCAAAAAAAGGAAAAAAAAGATCATTGGTGAAGCATTAAAAAGAAATACCCAGAAGAAAGTTCAGAAAGGGACATAGAAAAACAGGACGGGTTTATCGCTATATATTAACTTTAATATGTACAAGAAAGAGTATATAACAGAAGCTGACAGTTTCTTCTTTTTTGTTCTTTGTTTATTGAAATGTTAATGTTTGTTAAGGTTATAATAAAAAAAAAGGAAACAAAAAATAAATTCTATGATCTAGTCCCAGAGATATGGGCAATCTCAAGAGGAAAGAAGATTTATCCCATTCTGGCCCTGATGTATATTCTGATGGGCTCTCTGGAAATCCAAGGCCACCTAGAATGCTACAGTGCTAGGTTTTCTTGGAACCATTACAAATTGAGAGGAGGCTGATAATGAAAAGGAGAAGGAGGGAAGAGAGAAGGGTAGGAGATACCTCACATGTAGCAAGATTAATAGGAGAGAAATATGATAATAATGTTGGATTTGGAGCTAGAGTCCTAGGTTCAGATCCAAACTGCCACTTACTACCCGGTATGATCTTAGGTAAATCATTTAATCTGAGTCTCAGTTTCCTGATATGATCTAATCTGACTAAAATTTTTCCTACACAGATGACACATATAAAAATAACGTTAGATGCAGCCTTATGGGTCTTGCCATAGATTCTGCAGAAAGGCTGGAAGGGGTATTTACTTCTAAGGAGAAAGTCTCCAAAGCAGACTTTTAAAGTGCTTTGCTTCCCAAATATCCAGTGAATAAGTCACCAAGACTTTGCATCATGATTTACATACTGGATTCCAAAAAAAAGAATTTCTGAACTCCTTGGTTAATTATAAAGTAAACAAATCTGTAGTTCTTTTCAGTTATTCTTAGAAATATCCCTGGCATTTGAAGAGTGGCTCAAGTATGTTCTATGCCAGTGCAGCTAGATTAAAGAAACACTCTTCAAGAGTGGGATTTGGGTTAGATGATCCCTTCTAGCTGTAAATCTGTGATCTAATTGTATGATCAAAGTAATTTAAACAGAATGTGTTTTACAAAATAAGGAGGCAAGGTGGTATAGTAGATAGGACACTAGGCTTCAAGGAAGAAAGACCTGGGTTCAAACCTTGCCTCAGACACTTACTAGCTGTGTGACCCTGGGCAAGTGACTTAACCTTTCTGTGTCTCATTTCCTTATCTATGAAGTGAAAATTTTGGACTCCAAGGCTCCTTCCAATTCTAAATCTATAATCCTATGATCCCATTTCAACTACTGACACATTCATGGAATTTCTAATTCTCTACACTATGTGCATATTCCAGATGGGTGCACTAGGCCAGAACACCATGATGTCAGGGACTTGTTAGAGGGGATGGCTTTGGAATGGGTCACCATTTTCACCAGAGCAAACACTTGGGAATTTACAGCAGATGTCTGAGAAACTCTAACCACAATCTACATTTATTTCTCTGCCCAGGAGGGAGCTACAGTGAAAAGTGATAGTTAGCTGAGTATCCTCAGGGGACATTGAAACAGAACATACTATAACAATACTATAACTTTTAATAGGCATTAAAATAGAACATAGAATAAGAATAATATTGAGAACACAAGCTGAAAAAGAGTCCAGAGTTTCCATCATTTGAGGCTTATACATTTAAGAAGCTGGTTCAGGGAACTGGAAAATTTCAGAGGAAAATAATAAATGGGATGAAAAATTGATAGCCTTGAGGATTTGGGATTATTCCCTTTGAGGATTAAAAAAAAATAAGAGGGCTGTTTTCAACAATTTCAGAAAAGGTTGTTTGAAGAAAACGACATTATTTTTCATCTCCTTTGAGAAAGAAATATTTGGGCGGTTTGTCCCCCTGCTGTCTGTTATTAGAACCTTTCTCAGAAAAAGAGAAGAAATCCATCAGGTCCATCAGGTAGCAGAATTGCTGCCAGATTTCCAGGTGGGCTAAAGGAGAGTTTAGGAACAAGCTCCAAAATACTGGACTAGCTGGACAGCGATACGTCTTACTCCCCTGGGACAGTAAGGAAAGAGAGTGGGTTTTAGCCAGGAAAATAGAACAGAAGCCTCATGTTTCAAAAAGGTGAGATCAGAGACAGGGAGGGATTGCCCACCCACAAGTTAGGAATCTATCTGATATGACCTAATCTGACTAAAATTTTTCCTACACAGATAACACATATAAAAATAGTATTAGATGCAGCCTTATGGGTCTTGCCATAGATTCTGCAGAAAGGCTGGAAGGGGTGTTTACTTCTAAGGAGAAAGTCTCCAAAGCAGACTTTTAAAGCACTTTGCCTCCCAAATAACCAGTGAATGAATAACCAAGACTTTGCATCATGATTTACATACTGGATTCCAAAAGAAGAATTTCTCAACTCCTTGGTTAATTATAAAATAAACAAATCTGTAGTTCTTTTCAGTTATATTTGAAATATCCCTGGCATTTGAAGAGTGGCTCAAGTATGTTCTATGCCAGTGCAGCTAGATTAAAGAAACACTCTTCAAGCTTTCTGGAATCTCTGTCTAGATATAGTTATAATGGAATCTGATCCTAACTCACCTTTTTGAAACCTATTTGTAAAATGTTGCTAAAAGAATCTAACATTCATTTCAGTTGTTGCAAAGAGTAATACTGAGGCATTTTTCAGATAAGTAAATGAGGAATAATGGCAGAGAAAAAAGCAACATGAGATCCCAAAAAAAAGTTGAACTCTGAGTGAAGGAGAAACCAGTGACTGTCCTGGAGAAGAGAGAAATAATAGAACATAGCTCTTCCCTGATGGCAGAGAGGTAGGGAATTATTTGTATAGACTATTCTATAAATTGTTGGGTGAAGCTACCGTATTCAATCATAAATCTAGACCTGGAAGAAGATCATCAGAGGTCACCTAGTCTAATTCCTCTCATTTTACAGATGAGAGAACTGAAGTTAATTGATTCACCCGAGGTCTCAGAGGTGGAAAGTATCAGGAGAGATTCAAACCCAGATCCTCTGATGCCAGAGCCGGTGCTCTTACCAATGTACCAGACTAATATCTTGCTTAATCATTTCTTATTTGGGGGAGAAAGGAGCCCAGAGAATTTGGCCACGAGGTAGGATTCAATACAGAACATGAATAAGAAATTACTACAGTGCAAAGGCATAAATATTTTTAAATGTGAACAAATATGCTAATACCCATAACAAATCATATACATGCAATTCATCGTATGGCAAAGAATCAACACAAATCCTGAAACTGTTTGTGGGTGCTACTTACCCCAGAGAGTATTTTATATCTCTTAAGAGTGCTTCTTTTCACAGGGTAGTCTGTTTGTAAATCCAGTGTTGATTCCACCATTATTCTGCTTGTTCTGAGAGAGGGTACTGAGAGCTGTATCCCTTTCCCTCTGTTGGCTAACAGAAAATGCTACAAGGCAGATCAATAGCAACAGCTTGTGAGGATCTGTGGAGGACTGAGGCCCTACAGTGATTGGGCAATCTAAAAGCATTAAAAAAAAAAAGCAATTACACATGGCTGTCAAAAGATAAAAGTCCAGTTTTAATGTACTGCAGATAGCCCCATCGTGTGTACAATAACTAGATGTCACTACATTCTGTTCTACATGTGCTGTTCTCTTAATGAGAATGAAATTCTTATTTGGGGGAGAAAGGAGCCCAGAGGAGAATGAAAGAAATAGCTTAAATTACACCTGTTTCAGTGTTTTCTATTCTCCTACAAATCTAAAATACAGTAAAAACAATTATGATAACCATCTTAATTTCTTTCAAATCAGCAACAGTCTTGGGATAGAAGTTATCTACTAAAGTTAATTTGCTTATGAAGGGAAATATTGTTTCTTAAATGAAGAAAATGCTCAAATTTAGAAAGTTTGCAATGCTCTGGATACCTCTAGAGGTCTTCTAATCTAGGCTCCTAATCAATCTCAAACAAGTGTTTATGCTGCTCTTTAAAGTAAGTAACAATTTCTGACACAAGAATTCAGTGTCTCGCGTAATACCCAATCAGGAAGTCTTCAAATTTCAGCCTAAATCCCTAAGGCTATTACAAACATTCACTCCCTTAAGAATATGCACATTAAAAACTGTTTTCCTTTATGACTTGTGATCGGCAGATGCCTTTATTCCAGTCCTTGGTTCCCCTTCTAGGTATGCCAATTTCCCTGGTTATATTTACTGCCCTTATTCCTCATCAAGGTAATTGCATCTCCTTGACTTTACACAGGCTGTGCCCCTTTTCTCAAATTCACTCCCTCCTTACCTTTTCTTTCTTTGACAATCCCTAGCTTCTTTCAAAGTTCAGTTCCAATGCCACTTCCTACCAGAAGTCTATCCAGTTCTCATTCCATTGTGGGTGCCTCCTCCCATCTGGAATGCCTATTTAACAGTGAGAAGCGAAGTTTCTTTGGACTAGTACAAGGACATCTGCCTATGAAAGATCCAGGAAAGCTGCTGGTGGGTGGGGCAGGGTAGAGACAATGCCTTGCCTCTGGTGTGTCTTTTTTTTTCTCTTACATTTTTTTTCTCCTACATTGGTAATTAAGAGAAACTTGATATTTTCAAAGTTTGCATTCTCCCAAATGCTAGGCTATTTGGTAACTATCAGGCAAATAATCTTTCCTGGTTTTAGATAGCTTATTCTACAGAAACAAAAATTTGGGAAATATTTGAAACAGTCACCCTAAACTAAAAGGAGATTTTTGATCCCTTACCAGAAGGAGTTATGGAGAGAAAAGACTGAGACCTGAAGAACACTAGCTAGCTGGAACCACCTTGTTTTTTGTTTTAAAGAGCTTGGAATCTGGGGCTTTATAGAAATGAAGTGAAACCTCAAAGCTGATACTTAGAAGGAACAAAACTGTGTTGCTGCAGCTTTTCCCCTAAGGGGAAAAAAAGCTGGTTAAAAAGAACATAGCATGTTCTTTTGAGATTCCTAAGTGGTGTAGTAAATAGAATGCTTGGACACAGGAAGACCTTAGTTGGAATCCTGCTTCCAATACTTTACAAGTTGTGTGACCCTGAAGAAGTTAGCCTGTCTCACTCAGTCTCAGTCTCTTCATCTGTAAAATGGGGATAATAAATTGTTGTGAGCATTGAGATGATAGATGTAAAGGGATTTATAAAACTTTAAAGTGCTATATAAATGCTAGGTATTATTATTATTAGAGCACTCTAGCTGAGAATTTCATCAGAGTCAGAAGCTGGATACAATACATCATCCAGCAGACTCTACAAAGTGGTTGGGCCATGATGGCTCAGAGTGAGTGTAAACAGCAATTGTTTCAGTTTGGGCCAAAAATCCTGAGGGTCTTCCCCTCCCAGATCATTTTGGTTTTTTTTTTAAACTAGGTAAAAGAGGCTATTCTTTGCTTCATTTCTTACCTAGCCTTAATCACTGAATAGACATTGCCTCATTCAAACTGAGACTTGCTAAAGACCTTAACTTAAAAAGGCCAAGGTCTCCCACTGTATCCAGGGCCATCTCCAGTCATCCTGATCTATATCTAGCCACTGGACCCAGAGGGCACCGGAAAAGAAAGTGAGGCTGGTGACAGCCCTCTCTCACTAAAAATCCAATTCACTTGCAAGTCATGGCATCACCTTCCTGATGTCATGGTCCTATTTGAGAACAAAGGACAAACAACAACAATAAAGTGGTCTCTGCCTGAGAATTATTAGACCAACAGGCAACAAGACCATTCAGCAAAGACTATGAGAACAGTGTCAGAGTAAGTAACCCACAGACAGTAGAATCCCTACAGATGAGCTGCCCATTCATGTGTTTGCCTTGATTACATTTCCATGGAACAGCCTTGGCCACACAAGGTCCCTACATGTGTGCCTTTCCACTTGTGCTCTCTATGTGCACCCACTCTTCCTATTGATGCTAAATGTAGCTAGATGGGGAAGACCAAATCCTAGATTCATGAGGGAAGCATTTTGTTGCTATTTTTCTTAATATGACATTTCATTAAATGCCTTTATTTTGAGCTTCATGTCTTCTGGCTTACTATTAAAGGTAAACATGTTGGTGGGGAGTTGAGAACTATTGTTTTATTAGTGTGGACCAACAGAGGATCCTGGACTGGCTAATTGTTCTTTGGAAGACTGCCCCCTGGGAGTTTTTTTTTTTAATTTTAATTTTTTAAAATTAATTAATTTTTTTTTAGTTTTCCACATTCACTTCCACAAGATTTTGAGTTCCAAGTTTTCTCCCCATCTCATCCCTCCCCCCACCCCAAGATGGAATGCATTCTGAATACCCCTTCTCCCAATCTACCCTCCCTTCTATCTCTCCCCTCCCTTCTCTTATCCTCTTCCCCTTCAATTTTCCTGTAAGGCAGGATAGATTTCTATATCCCATTTCCTGTATATTTTATTTCCCAGTTGCATGTGAAAACAATTTTTTTTAACTTTAGTTTTTAAAACTGTGGGTTCCTTCCTCCCTCCCCACCCACCCTCATTGAGAAGGCAAGCAACTTGATACAAATTATAGATGTGTAGTCATGCAAAACACTTCCATAGTAGTCATGTTGTAAAAAACTAAGTATATTTCCCTTCATCCTATCCCACCTGCCATTTATTCTATTCTCTCTTTTGACCCTGTCCCTCCTTAGAAGTGTTTGCTTCTGATTACCCCCTCCCCCAATCTGCCCTCACCTCTATCATCCTCCTGCTCTCTTGTCTCCTTCCCTCCCTATTTTCCTGTAGGGTAAGATAGATTTCCATACCCAATTGAGTGTGTATGTTATTCTCTCCTTAAGCCAAATCCAATGCAGATAAGATTCACTCTTTCCCTCTCACCTACACCCATTTCCCCTCCATTGTAAAAGCCTTTTCTTGTCTGTTTTATGTGAGATAATTTACCCCATTCTACCTCTCCCTTCCTCCTTCTCTCTGTATAATCCTCTCTCACCCCTTAATTTTATTCTCCAGATATCACCCTTTCATCTTCAATTCACTCTGTGCTCTCTATCTTCATATATATATATATATATATATATATACACACATATAATTATCCCCCCAACTGTTCTAATACTGACAAAGGACTCATGAGTTACAAACATCATCTTTCCATGCAGAATGTAAACAGTTCAACCTTAATAAGTCTCTTACAATTTCTCTTTCCTGTTTACCTCTTCATGTTTCTCTTGAGTCTTGTATCTGAAAGTGAAATTTTCTATTTAGCTCTGGTCTTTCTGTCAGGAATGCTTGAAAGTCCTCTACTTCACTGAATGTCTATTTTCCCCCTGAAGGATTATGCTCAGTTTTTCTAAGCAGGTGATTCTTGGTTGTAATCCTATCTCCTTTGCCCTCCGGAATATTATATTCCAAGCTCTGCAGTTCCTTAATATAGAAGCTGCTAAATCTTGTGTTGTTCTGATTGTGTTTCCACAATACTTGAATTGTTTCTTTCTGGCTGCTTGTAATATTTTCTCCTTGACCTGGGAACTCTGGAATTTGGCTACAACATTCCTAGGAGTTTTCCTTTGAGGATCTCTTTCAGGAGGAGACCAGTGGATTCTTTCAATTTCTATTTTGCCCTCTGGTTCTAAAATATCTGGTTTTCCTGGATAATTTCTTGAAAGATGATGTCTAGGCTCTTTTTTTGATCATGGCTTTCAGATAGTCCAATAATTTTTAAATTCTCTCTCCTGGATCTATTTTCCAGGTCAGTTGTTTTTGCAATGAGATATTTCACATTGCTTTCTATTTTTTCATTCTTTTGGATTTGTTTTACAGTGTCTTGATTTCTCATAAAGTCACTAGCTTCCAATTGCTCCATTCTAATTTTTAAGGAAGTATTTTCTTCAGTAAGCTTTTGGACTTCTTTTTCCATTTGGCCAATTTTACTTTTTAAGGCATTCTTTTTCTCATTGGCTTTTTGGACCTCTTTTGCCAATTGGGTTAGGCTATTTTTTAAGGTGTTATTTTCTTTAGTATTTTTTTGGGTCTCCTTTAGCAAGCTGTTGACTTGTTTTTCATGATTTTCTTGCATCACCAATTCATATTTTTCTTAGAGGCTTTGGATGTAGGAGCTTTGACTTTGTTGTCTTCTTCTGGTTGAATGTTTCGATCTTCTTCGTCACCAAAGTAGGATTCTATGGTCTGACTCTTTTTCCGCTGCTTGCTCATGATCTCAGCCAATTATTCGAGTTATAAACTTTTTGTTAAGATAGGGGTCTGCTTCCAGTGTGATGAATGTACTGTGCCAGGCTTTGGGGGTTTTGTGCAGCTGTTTTCAGAGATACTTCTAGGGCCCTGTAAGTTTTCAGTTCTTCCAAGGGGCTATGATCAAGGGCAAGGTGTTTACTCCTTTCCTGGCCTGTGCTCTGGTCTGTGAGTGACCACAAGCACTCTTTTCTATCTTGGAACTATGAAGATTCTCTCTTCACAGCCACTACAAGTTCCACCACACCAGGGCTCCTCCTTGCCCAGGACCACCACCCAGAACTGTGACCCAGATCCAAGCATGGGCAAAGCATGAGAATTCTGCACCAGCAAAGAGAACCTTGCAATCCCCCTCTGATCATCTACTTGAGTCCCTCTCAGTCTGTGGGCCAGAAGCTCCAGAGGCCACCATCACCCCGAGGCTGTGTTTGGGGATGGTTGGGACTACTCTTCTCTCTCTCACTGCAGTCACAGACTTTTCCCACTGACCTTCTAAGTTATTTTTGGTGTTCATGGGTTGAGAAGTCTGGAAACCACCAGAGCTGCCCATGATTCAGTCCTCTGAGGGCTGCTCCAGGTTCGCTGAGGCCTGCATGCCCACGCCAAACTGTGTTCCTCTCCCAGCCTGGCATGATATACCTTTCTGATCAACCATCTAGGTTGTCTTGGGCTGGAAATTTGTTTCACTCTGTCTTTTAGTGGGTTCTGCTGCTAGAATTTGTTTAGAGCCATTTTTTACAGGTATTTGGAGGGGTTTGGGGGAGAGCTCAAGCAAGTCACTGTTTTTACTTCGCCATCTTGGCTCCGCCCTCCCTCCCCCCAGGACTTTTGGAAAGTGTCCTTGGAGTGCTACAATATATACGCTTAGATATGTATCTACTGTTTCCCCAGTTCCTGATCCTTGAGGGTGTTTGGAATTCCTCAACCCTGAGGTCCTAAGATCCTCCCAAGAGTAATTCCTCCCCTCCATTAGGCACTTTGACTGGAAGTCAATAAATGTGGAGGCAAGGCTAAAAGATAGCATCTAAGGATGAGCTTATGCACTTACACAGGTTTTTTAAAAATCCTTAGGGGTAACATTAAAGGCTATGGAAAGGTGCTTAGCCACTTTCCTTTTGGGGAGGTAGAGTAATAGGGACAGGATGTCAGGTAATTTGGGGGCAAATTTGGGGAAGACCTCCCTCAAGAGAGAATTAGTGGGATAATCTTATTGTTGAATAAAATACGGAT